AGTTTTCTTTATGCAAAAAAATTATTATCTAGTCCCACAATAGAGATGGAAAGATGGAAAAAGATATTTGTGCGAAACATGAAATAATTTTGAGATTACGATGAATATGAGACAAATCTATACTTATATAATAAGATGTACCATTTACGAAATTTAATAAGTTGAAAAGTCAATGCAATAAATGCATTACTATTTTGAGCAACATAATATAATATCATATCTATTTTTAAATAAAAGGAAATTCTATTTACTACATTTACTATCCAGAAAAGTCAACTGCATTAAATACCATTACTATTTTGGTATTATAATATTTTATTCATTTAATTGATTTATTTATTTGTTTTATTTTAAAAAGGTAAGTATAATAAAAAGATTTTAATAATAAAAAAATCAAATACCAAATAAAAAAGTACACTTTGACTTATTTGATTATATTTGGTATTTGATTATACCAAATATATTTCTATTTAGTATATACATTAGATATTTACTAAAGTATTTATTTGTTTTATTTGTCAAAGTTAAGTATAGATTTGTTTATATTATCAAATCATAAAAAAATATTAAATCCATATTGTAAAAAAAAAAATCATATAATTTTATAACAATTCTACTACACTATTTAACAATATTCTTTTTTTATTATATAATAAAATAATAACTAAATATTATATGGTGCACAACAATAAGTAAAACTGTTACTTTATCTTATATCAAGGGATAAATTTATATGCTAAAATTAAATTTTTATTAGTATAAATGTTTTAGTGAGATAATATATTAATTATTTTACAAGCTAGCCCTAACATGCTCATATTTAATGTTTTAAAAGATGTAGAAAAAAACTTATAATAACTCTATTGTTTTTTAGACTTAAACGTTGATTAAAAGAGGTAAAAATTCCTAATTTTTTAGACTTAAACGTTGATTAACACCATAGATTGAGAGTCTATATTTAGTAAAATTCCTAATTGTAATAAAAAAATTAATTTTTGCTAGGTTTAGAATATCTTTAAATTCATCATAAAAAGAAAAAAAAACTACAATGAAAAAAGCAAGTCAGCTATATATCGATTTGTTGTACTCCTCAAATCACATTCACAATTTGGCTACAAGGAAAGGAAACTCATTGATTAAAATATTATTTTGTCAGTAGTCTTAATGTACAAGAGTCTTTAAGACTCTTGTATAAAACTTTTATTGAACATTGTACACTTGCGTATTATAAACTTTTATTGAATATTGCATCTTATAATATAATATTCTCTAAATAAATATATCCCGTGCTTCGCACGAGTCACGTACTATCTATATCCCGTACATTTTTCTTTATTCATGTATATAATTATAAGCCTGGATAAATAGCCTTAAAATTGTGCACCACGTGCATCGCACGGGCTCTGTACTCGTATATATAGATTAGAGCTGATATGATAAGTAAATAATAAAATATTAATTAATAATGAGTGTTAGTTAGGAATAGGTAAGTGTGTGAATGATATTCTTTTATTCGGTAATATAAAATAATGATTAATTTATAATTTTAAAAGGTAAGAATTGGGNGATACAATCGAAAGGCTAACTAGACCTTAATCAACAGTTCATCAGAGCACCACTAAACATGTGGCCTAAAACTCAACCACCCTAAACAAAGCCAAATACAACCAAGAAGACAAAGGCAAATACACACATTTGGATCCTTTGCTCCCAAGTATAAGACAGCAAAAAGAGAAAAACAAAGCAAAACAGATAAAATTAAAAACTACAAATTAGAAAAAGTACAACCAACTGTCCAAAGGACCTAAGCCATACTCTTCCCATCTACATACCAAAACCAATCAACAGATGCATCCTCTGTATTCCTCCCAATCAGCCAAGGCTAACTTCACAACCTCAACTTCACTTCTCCATTGCTTTGGAACAGCTACAGGTTTCTTGTTTTCCAAATTTACCATAGGATTTAGGTGGATAGTTAAATTCCGATTTCAGCTACCTCTTTCTTCTCCATTGAAGGAACCCACCACCACCAGTCCTTTAAACTGTGAGCTTCTGATAGTGAGTCACCCCAATCAATTGGAGCCAGCTTCCATACCATTTTGGCCCTTGGACACTTAAAGAAAATATGCTCCATAGTTTCTGGTTCTTCTCCACAGCCATGGCAAATATGATCAATATCAAGACCTCTTCTCCTGAGGTTGACACCTGTAGGCAAAGAGTTTGAAAAGCATTTCCAGATTAGATGTTTAATTTTACTATTAATCTTCAATTTTCAGCATCTTTCCCTGGCTATTCTATCACTCTTAGCTGAGATGCTTCCTTCTGCTCTATCCAGTTTCAAGAGTTTCTGAACCATCAACTTATAATGAAAAGATAATGGGATATGGGGTCCCCCTGCCTTATAACCCTGGAAGGTTCCACATAACCACACATGTCTCTATTAATATTAAAGGAATATGAATCAGTAGATATGCAAGCAAAAATCCACTGAACAAAAGATGAGTGAAAGCTTAGACTGTGTAAGATCTTGATGATGTTTTTCCACTAAATTCGGTCATAAGCCTTCATCATATCCAGTTTCAAAGCAATATAATATTTGTGCCCAGTCATGTATCTATTTAGAAAATGTACTACCACCTGAGCAACTATCACATTATCAAGCAACTGCCTACCTTTAACAAAAACAGCCTGGCTCTCACTTATGATTCTGTCTAAGAAAGGCTTCAGTCTATCAACAAGAATTTTGGACACCACCTTATATGCCATACCACATAGGCTTATAGGTTGAATAAAAATATTTGAAACGAATAGTTTCATTTCAAAACCACCAGTAAGATAAATTTTAACTGGTCAATAGTTCCATCTATTAGATATCAAAATAACGTACCACTGAAGCGCGATGAACAAAAAAAATCCCAATTCTCTCCATCCTTTTCCGGTAACCCTAGACCCCTGAGGTAGAACGTGATTGACGAAAGGGATAAAGAGATACTCTCTCTTCAGAAAACACGCAAGAACATATTTTTATTTCTCAATTTCAACTAATCGTCTGTTCTCCTCCCACAAGAGCATAAATAGAATCCAAAATATCCTAAATCTCTAACTTAATAAGCAAGTAAATAAATATTATCCTACCCAACTAATTAAGATAAATAAAGATAATAATAATAATAATGCAACATGACTAATCAAATCAACGCTGGAAGCCGATCATATTTTTCTAAAAAAGCCAACGCGAGCTCGTCTCCATCATCCTCCCCCAGTTGAGGAGGATTCGCCCTCAAATCCGAACCGAGCTCGTCTCCGTCGGCTTCGTCGGGGTGCCAAGGAGCCAGCTTCATCATGTGAAAAATATCCAGCAAACGAGCATGAGAGGGCAATCGAAGACGGTATTCATCCTGAGGAAGCCGATCGATAATCTCGTAAGGGCTGGCCCTACCATCGTTCGTGGAACCAGCCCAGACAAAGTTGCCCACATCAAAAAACACTGAACGATCGTCCAACGAACCATACACCTCGTCACATGCCCCGCCACGGGAAAGAAATAAGGCAGCAGGTGGCCACACCAACATCGAATGGGGAGTTACAGGATGCAAAACTAAGCACACACCGTCGAATGTAAACTCATATGTATTAAGACGGCCATCATGCACTACAGCACGATCAAACTGCCAAGGACGCCCCAACAAAAGGTGCCACGCATCCATAGGCACGATGTCACACCACACCGCATCCTTATAGGAGGAGCTGATAGAAAAAGAAACCAACACACAATGTGTAACAGAGACAGCGTTGTCATGTTGTATCCACGCGAGAGAGTAGGGGTCCGAATGCGGCTCACACACTAACCCCAGTTTCTGAACGACTTCAACCGAAATCACATTCTCGCACGAGCCGGAATCTATCACAAAACGGCACACCCGACCGCCAATGGTGCACGTAGACTAAAAAAGGTGACGCCGCTAACTCTCATCGTTGGAAGAAACATGGGGAGATAAAAGGGAACGACGAAGAACAAGTGCGTGACCCACGTCCCCCAAAATATGCACCACCGGAACCTCAGGCTCTTTGTCGAAAATTGGAGGGCCATCATATATTGCAGTTGCTGAATATTCCGCTGTTTCCTCAGTAAACAACACACGTGACCCGGCCCCTTTTGGACAAGCCGCCTGCCGATGGCCAAGCTCACCGCAGCCGAAGCACCGTATCCCGCCACCAGCCCGCTGTGTACTCACGGTTGGTGCCGTCCCCAATTCGCCGGTAGACTATGGCAGCCCACCGCTGGCCGTCGAACCGCGCCCCATTGTCGGCACTGAGCCCGAGGGCATGCTCGAGGCAGGTATCCCACGCCCGGACTGCAAACCCGCTCCTGCAACACTAACGGACAGGCCCGTCTTACGAGCCAACTGTTTCTCAACAATGAGGGCCCGTTGATGAGCATCTGAAACCGATTCTGGAACAACAAGACTAAGCATATCCTGTATAGCAATATTCAAACCCCCCACATAGCGAGCAACCAGCTGACCTTTCGACTCAAGTAACTCCACACGAGTTAAGAGACGATAAAAGTCTTCTGCATACTCTGAAATAGAATGCGGGCATTGCCGCATATTATTTAATTGTTGATAAACCACATGCTCATAATTAAAAGGGAGAAATTCACATTCTACGTACTTACGGTACTGCATCCAAGTGGAGATTTCTGGTTTCCCCTGGCGATGCCGCAAACTCGTAAGTTGCATCCACCATCCTGCCGCTCGTCCTCGAAATCACGTGGCGACAAACACGACACGCCTTTCATCTGGGACTTCCTTAAATTTGAGGACAGACTCAACAGTAGCCCACCAGTCGAGGAACTCCGCTGCATCTGCTCCTCCTAAAAACTCGGGAATCTCAACCCAAAACATCAAGTCCCAACGCGGGTTGCCGTGTCCATCCGTCGGCCGGTGAAAATCACGCCTGTACAGCCCCTGGCCTGCGTCTTCTCGGCCCAAATCTGGATGTTTCTGTCTGTCGCCATGAAAATCTCGTCCAACACGGCCATGGTTCCAGCCGCGACGGTGTAGTTCACCACCGTCAAGCCCGGCACCAGCCCGATCAAACCATCCATTGCGGCGCTGTTGTCCGCCGTCGTGGAATCCCAGGCCGCCGTCAACAGGGCCCCAGCCATCGCGATGGTGCTGTTCGCCCTCCTCGAAGCCCAGCCCGTCGCAGTGCAGGTATTCGTCCCCGTCAGGACCTACTCCACCTCGAAAGAAACCCCGCTCGCGACGCCCGATGTCGCTGTCCACAAACCCTCCTTCACCGCGCCCATCGTCGCCCACAGGCCGACGACGCTGCTCCATCGTGAACGGATTGACACGCTAACGGTCTTCTCCTCCGCCTCGTCGCCGGACGGAGTCGGTGGTGAACGCTGGCGGGGCGCCCCACCAAAGCTGCGTCCTCCACGTTCCCCGCGAGCCCCTCCACACGTGCCTCGGTCGCTGGCAGCACGAGTCGTATGGATCTCGTCCATCATAGTTCGCATAGTCTCCCGCAACTCCTCAATTCCGGATGAGAGATCCGTAAATCGGTTGTCCATCCCGAGAAAGTGCTCATCCATCCTCTGGAATTGCTTCTCAATGACGTTGTCGATTATGGCTTGTCCTCTCTTAGGCGGCATCGCGGATCGTTGCTGGTCTCTGGATACCAACTGCTGTAGAACGTGATTGACGAGAGGGATAAAGAGATACTCTGTCTTCAGAAAACACGCAAGAACAGATTTTTATTTCTCAATTTCAACTGATCGTCTGTTCTCCTCCCACAAGAGCATAAATAGAGTCCAAAATATTTTAAATCCCTAACTTAATAAGCAAGTAAATAAATATTATCCTACCCAAAATTAAGATAAATAACGATAATAATAATAATGCAACATGACTAATCAAACCAACGCCGGAAACTGATCATATTTGTCTAGAAAAGCCAACGCGAGCTCGTCTCCATCAACCCCGGTGATGACCGCCACAGGCCATCCTCGACACGGAATTTCCTCTCGCGACTTCCAGTTTACTTCCGACATCAAAGCGACCGCGGGTCTGCGGTCGACCGGGGGAGTTTCTGAACCCTAGCAGTCCTCCGCCACCGCCCCCGCGGGCAGCTCAGCCTGGGCCTCCGCCACAACGTTGGTCCTTTCCTGACATGGTCAATAAACACCAGAATCACGTGGATGTCATCGGTGACGATGAAGGCGAAGATGCTAATGCGGACGAGGAAGTATCAGTGGACCTATCCAGCCTAGTACCGGAGGTCCGTATTGCACCACGTTTCTTCGAACGCATCTCCAAGGACTAGAAACATGTGGCCGTGGTCAAACCGTTTGACGAATCCATCACCATACCTTCTCTCTATAATCGGTTGACTAAGCTATGGCCGTTCATGTCGGGCTATTACATGATGGACTTGGAGAATGGTTTCTATCTTATCTAATTTCGTAATCAAGAAGATGTACGCAAGGCCCTCACAGGTGGTCCCTACATCATAGGCGGTGGGTATATGCACGTGCAACCTTGGGATCTCGAGTTTGACGCCATGGAAGTGGAAATTACGTCTACTGTAGCATGGATCCGGCTACCGGGCATGCCGGCCCACCTTTATCACAACAAAGTATTCCGCACGATTGGTCGCAATGTCGGTAAGGTGATGAAAATCGATCAACAGACTGTCGCGCTTACTCGGGGTAAATTCGTCAGGCTTGCGGTCTTGGTCGATATCACTAAGCCTCTATGCATGCATTTCACCATCAATGGACGGTTTCATCGCATTTATAAAAACCTACCCACTATTTGTTTTCAGTGTCGACTGGTAAGCATTCAAAAAGCTTGTGCCCTTTCAGACGCAGTCTCCGGAGCCTGCCACACGTAGTGGACACATGCCCGTCAATCGTGACCGATGTGACATTAATGGCAAGGGAGTTTCCGAGGACCAGCCAGACAAGAAGATCGGTGGGGCAGAATCGAGGTATGGACCGTGGATGTAGGTCCCGCAACGCACGTGCCATTCATACTCCCAACGTGATATGGGGGGATAAGGTGCCCAGTACGAAAGTTCCGTCATCCGGATCGCGATTAGGGTCTCAGTTCACTGTTTTGAACTGTGAGGACTCGAGGGGTGCCAATATGCACTTTGAGTTTGGCGCACCATCTAAGACGAACACCAGGGAGGGTCTCGACTTGCCCAAAGGGGCTTCGGGTGTCCCCGCGAAGCAAGAGTGGCATGTATTTAAGGGCAAATGTCGGAAAAACAGCAGAATTGACCTGGCTCATAAGTCTGGAGGGGAAATTATTGGGCCTGAGAAGATGACTATACCTGTAGTGGACTTAACCAACGATATGGAGCTGGGTCACACCAAAAGTGCTGGGCTTGGGCCTCATCGGAAGACGACTGTGCCGAACCCATTGCCGACTACCTCTGGACCAATTCAAGTGGGAGCTGGGCTTGACCCGTCCAAACACCGTGCTATGGTCGTGTATGACGACCATGCTCTACCTTCTCCGTCCCAGCCTCTGGTTGCTTCAACCGATGATGATTTGATGAGGGCAGAGACCCAGTTCGTGGCTCTCCAAGAACCGTGGCCGGAGGATTCTAACATTTCAGGACGACCGATGAGTAGTTCGGGTACTGTTCCTCAGGCCATGGATCTCGGTGCTGACTTTGACTCGGACTCGCATGTTCAACCCCTTGCTTAATGGCGATTGCCACCCTTTTCCTTCATAGTTTCCTTATGAATATATTAACTTGGAATGTTCAAGGTGCCGGTTCGCCTGCCTTTCGGGGAGCCTTCTTTACCTTAATCTAACAGTACAAATTGGATGTGGTCGCTCTTTTCGAACCTCGTATTAGCGGGGCGACAGCTGATAAGTTTGTGAAGCTTGTTAAATTTGAGAATTCATTCCGAGTAGAAGCTCGGGGCTTCTCCGACATCATATTGATTCTATGAAACGATGTAGTGCACGTGGACATATTGTGCTTCTCGCCATTTTGTTCATGTTCGGGCATCTAAAAGTGGTGACGAGTGTTTGGTCTCCTTTGTTTACGCTAGTCCCCGAGGGGCAATTCGTAGACAGTTGTGGTCTGAATTGGCCTACATGGCAACTAGTATCTCCGAGCCTTGGTTAATTGAGGGCGATTTTAACTGCCTCCTCCATCAGTCTAAGAAGCAAGGAGGCTCCTCGGCCCATGGTACGGTTAATTTGGAGTTTTCTGATTGGTTTTTCGCTCACAGTCTCTATGAAGTGGCGACGGACAGCCACCTTTTCACTTGGGTTAGGGATGGTCCTTCCGGCAGACTCGAAGAGAAACTCGATTGTTTCATAGCTAATACGGCCTGGATGGATACATTCAAGTTGGGTCGCGTTCGCCTCCTGCCGAGAATTCAGTCTAACCACTCACCCCTCATGTTGACAGATGGTCGGTAAAATTACGAACCCCGAGGCCAGAAGCCTTTTCGTTTCTTGGCAGCATGGTTAACTCCCCCAGGGATTCTCTGGTTTGCTACATGAGGCGTGGCACTCCTCCCTTTGTTTTACCGAGGCGGCGAAGCGGTTCGCAGAATCCGCAAGAGAGTGGAACTCGAACGTGTTTGGCAATATATTCCAGCAGAAAAAAGGTTATTGGCACGTCTAGGCGGTATTCAGAGAAGCCGCCAATTCTATTACAGGGAGCGGTTGGTTGAGTTAGAGCGACACCTGTGTGTAGAGCTCAACGAAGTCATTCTTCAAGAAGAGCTGTTATTATTACAGAAAGCTACACGGGAATGGTCATTTTGGGGGGATAGAAATACATCCTTCTTTCATCCCCATCTCAAACACCATAGACGACAGGGTAGAATCTCTACGTTGGTGGATGCTGACGGTAACTGGATTATAGACAAAGCATTGCTGCGGACATTAGCCGTGGATTTTTGCAAAAAGATATATACCGCTGGACCGCCACCCAAACGGCCAGGTACCCCACCCAGTCTCTTCCCTGCCTGTGATATGGAGATGCTACATGCTATGGCTGACGACATTTCGGACGAGGAAGTCTCCTCAGCTCTTCACTCCATGGGCACTCTGAAAGCCCTCGATATGGACGGTTTAAATGCTCTATTTTTAAAGAAGAATTGGGCGACGGTGGGGCCTTCGGTGTGCGACTTTCTCAGCCAGATGTGGTGTGATGGAGTTGTGCTCGGTGACGTGAACCAAACCTTAACCGTTCTGATTTCGAAGATCGAGAATGCAACCACGATTCGGCACTTCCGCCCTATTATCTTGCTCAACGTGGTCTACAAACTCTTCACTAAAATCTTGATGAATCAAATGAAGGGTACATTTCCTACCCTAATCCATCCAGCATAGGCCAACTTCGTCCCGGGCAGGCAGATTACGGATAATATTGTTATCACGCAGGATCTCATTCACTCTATGCATTAAAATCAAGGTGTCAAGGGCTACATGGTTGTAAAAGTAGACCTGGAGAAGGCCTATGACTTACTACGATGGGACTTCATTGAGGAAACGTTGCGACTAGCTGGGTATCCCGATAAATTAATACAGGCGGTTATTGTTGGCGTCGGCTCGGCGACGATGCGGTTGTTGTGGAATGGGGCAATTGGCGAGGCGTTCCAACATAATAGAGGAGTTAGGCAGGGAGTCCCGTTTTCCCTATCTCTTTGTCCTATGTGTTGAACGGTTGGGACAGCTTATTTGCCAGACGGTCGAGGGCTTTGCGTGGCGACCGATCAAAGTGGGCAGACATGCAGTCTCGGTTCCCTTTTTTTTTTTTTTGCAGATGACCTCCTAATTTTCTTGGAGGCCTCTGATGAGCAGGCGTTGATTCTTAAGCAGGTACTTGATTTGTCGCCTCTCGGGACTTAAAGTCAGCTCGAAAAAGACGATGGTGTTTTTTTCTCGCAAAGTGGGAATCGAGGAGCAGCATCGCCTAACGAATGTCTTAAACTTCAAGTGGATGGACAACCTGGGGAAATACCTAGGGATGCCGGTTATCCAAAGCCGGGTCACAAAGAATACGTACGCTCACATCTTGGAGAAAGCGGAGTCGCAATTAAATGGATGGTGCATGCGGCTTCTTTCTAGGGCCGCGCGGGTCACTCTTACCCAGTCTGTCTTAAGCACGCTGCCTTTATTCTCTATGCAATCAGCTATGCTTCCTTGTGCCATCACGGACGGGCTAGAGAAACGAAGTCGCGCCTCCATTTGGGGCGGTACTGACGACCAAAAGAAATCATTCGGTACCCTGGCGGGAAGTATGCCAGCCTAAGGACGAGGGAGTCTTGGGCATACATGACCCCCGGCGTATGAACAGAGCGTTATTAATGAAGCTAGGGTGAGGTTTGTTGACGAAGTCGGACTCGCTTTGGGCTCGGGTTCTGATGGCCAAATATAATATTATTCCTTTGACTTGCCAGGATATCTTTCACCACCATCGAGGGTCGGCTTTGTTGCGCGCCCTCAATAGTGTTTGGCTAAATTTTGTGAGAGATCCGATTGATCATTGGTAATGGAGAGACAACCATATTTTGGCTTGACCCATGGATCGGGACGGGAAAACCATTAATACTCTATGCCTTTGGACAGCCACCCAAGAAGATGCTCCATTTAACGGTTGCTAATTTTGTTGATGCGTATGGATGATGGAAGTGGGATTGTTTCCACAGGAGCCTTCCCTCCTCAATCACCATTCGCATCGCTGGCATGCTTCCCCCGGCTTCGATGGCAGGTGCGGACCGCATGGTCTAGGGATTCTCCCAGGACGGTTGTTTTTCCACCAGATCCGCGTCCATGGCGTTAACTAACTCCGGCCGTGATCCCGACCAGCCCCTCTAGAAAATTGTTTGGAGCATGGCGACACCGCCACGAGCCCGGCATTTTTTGTGGCTGGCTACTAAAGGTCTGCTGCTTACGAATGCAAAGCGCGTTAGGAGGCATTTATCCATCTCGAAAAATTGCGTTTTGTGACGAAAGTAAGACGGTGATGCACGTACTCCGAGATTGCCTGATCATTAGGAGCCTGTGGGATAGGCGGGGCCCGACTATCTATGTCCGTGGATTTTTCCAGCTACCCCTACGAAGTTGGTTACACTGGAACTTAGTGAGGAATCGAGTTGGCCAGGTGGATAACTGGGCGACTCTCTTCGTTATTGCTGCATGGCGAATATGGGGGTGGCGGAATGATCAGGTTTTTAGCCAACGAGTCCTTAGTTGCGGCGTGCGATGCTCGGAGGTTGTTCGTCTGGCCGAGAAATACGGTCGAGCAGCGGCAGCTTACGCGCAGGTTGGCGCGCCTCACCACGTTACTCGCATGATACGTTGGTCTCCGCCGGAGTCAGGATGGGTTAAGCTTAATACCGATGGAGCTGTTGATATCCCCATGGGCCTCAGTAGTGCCGGAGGGCTACTTCGCGACGAGGTGAGAGTATGGATTGAATGGTTCCTCATGAATATTGGATATTGCACTATTACGGGGGCCGAGCTGTGGGGCCTCCTGCAGGGATTACAGATGGCTTGGGATCGGGGCTTTCGACGTCTCATAGCCGAGGTAGATAGCAAATGCGTTACCCAACTGATCCTCGGGCCCGAGGACAATCTCGGGGTTCATGCAGTGGTTGTCTCAGCCATCCGTAGTATGATCCAGTGGGATTGGAGCGTTACGATCCAACATGTGCATAAAGAGGCGAATTTAGCAGCAGATCATATGGCGAGTCTGGCGTCATCTTACTTGCTCGGAGTGCATCGCGTTTCTTCACCTCCCGTCGACATGGGACCCTAGCTTAATCACGACGATATGGGGGTGTCTTATCCCCGCCGAGTTCCAGGCTAGCATTTAATTTTAGGCATCGGCCTCCTTTATTGTACAAAAAAAAAAAAAAATTAACTGGTCAAACAAAAATAAATTATTTTCATAATGAATCACTTCCTAAAATATCTAGTTATAATTGAGTTATTTTTTGTCATATGTCATTACTAGGCCTTTTTTTCAAGATTTAAATTCATTATTAGTAGATGGTAATATTACAAACTTTGTTTCTAATGATAATTCTATAAACAGGCCATGTTTTTTAATATTAGTGAAGATTATGGTGTGTCATCCCCAAAGGTAGAATGACAAATGTCTCAAAAGCTGCAGTACCAGGGGCGGAGGCACATGTTTTCATACCCGGCCTCCAGCCCGAGTGGCTTCTACAAGTTAAAATTATTCAATACATATGTAATATATTACAAAAAATTATTTGTTTAAATCTTAGCCCGACCTTAATAATTGAAGATTTTAAACAAATAGACTAATCATCAAATCACTTCTAATTCAAGTCTCTTAGATATTAAATTGAGAGTTCTTCTCTTTCTATTTTTCACCTTAAAAACTAAATTTCTTGTTAAGAATAATCTAAAGACAAAATTAAGTTTATTTTTCCTTTATAAAAAGGTGAGGATGATGATGCTTTCTTGCATCAATAATGAAGTTTAAACGACATTTTCAATTTAAAAATACCTAATTTTGATACATTGATCTTTGAAAAACTTGATTTTTCGTCCCATTATGCATTTCTTGAAGATTTTTTTTTTTTTTTGGTCAAGATAATTAATTTCAACCAGTTATTTTAAATTCTAACTCCACCCTTGGCAGTACATGCTCTGAGAAATTTAAACGAAGTAAATATAGAGCACACATATTGTTATGATGCGTGTTACTTTGCAGTAGTATAAATGATGATAAATCTTCAATATTTTTCAATAGCTTTAGACTAATCTTATCTGTATAACTTCTACCCATGAAGAGTCAAAACCAGTCATCAAAGATAAGTGTATTGTAGATAATTATATTTTTACCCTATGAATCTCGATCTTGGATCGAATATCTTAAGGAAAGTAGTTCGAAATTTAGAGTCATTGTGAATCGCACAGAAAATGGAAAATGAGTTCCAAACCTCCTTTCAAGGACTAAAACTTTTTTAGTTCAAGGACAGGCTTATGTTCAGAATGCAGTGGTAGCAAGATGGGACATTGAAGCTAATCACGCCAAGATATCAGTAGAAAACATGCTGTTGGGACTAAGGGAATGGCTGGAAACAGGGGTGACTGAAGGATGGAACAGAGTGCAAGTGTGTTTTCAGGACAAGAAGATGGCAGATTTGTTGAAATGTAACTCTGAGTGCCAGGTTAATGTGTCTGTTCTTGTGAAAGATATTGTATTGTTGGGATCAATGTTTTATTATTTCTTCTTAATTTTGTGGTATTATTTAGACCGAGGTGGTCTCTGAGTGGACATAGGCAGTGATCCCCAGAGCAGATTTCAGGTTATCTTGAAATTTGTAATATAATTTGGTTGATTACTCGGATTGTTGTAAAGGCCAATTGTAAAATTGCAATACTTCTCTTCAGAACGTGTAAAGGCCAATTGTAAAGGCCCATGGCTCTTCACGGGCGCTGAGCGAGCAAGAAGGAACCTATGTGAGCCTGAGTCATCGGATAGATATTTGGTGATTGTGACCTATGTACAACTATATTAAGAAATTCAATATAAAATAAGTCTACTAAATTTTTCAACTTCAGGCAACCAATATTTAATGCTATTAGGAGCGTCGTTTATTCATGACACAGAATACTCCGATATGATTTAATTATGCACAATTAATTATTTAATTATGCACAATTAATTATTTAATTATCAAAATGCAAGTCAAAAGTCCGAGTCAAGATCCATGTTCTTACCAATGAGCGTATTGGATTCCAATGTGAGGTGATAGTTGCATAAGATATGATGTCAACACCAACAATAACAATCTTAACAAATATAATAATAATAATAATAATAACAACTTGTGAATAAAAAGTAAATAAAGGAAAACTACACAAATATGTGGATTTAGATTAATATAATGGTAGTGTAGTCTTGTAATACATTAATGACGCATAAAATGATTTCGTTCAAACTCAACACATGGTTATGTTTTATTAAATTTACCACTAATCATAAAGTCTTGATGAGGTTCTCATATTCTCTCCGTTATGTTTCTAAAGTAAATTGTAACCATAACAAATAATAATACTAATAATAATAACAACAACAACAACTAGTGAATAAAAATTAAATGAAGGAAAACTACACAAATACATGGATTTAGAGTAATATAATGGCAATGTACATCTTGTCACAAGACTACGCATAAAATGATTTCGTTCAAACTGACAAATATTTATATTTTATTAAGTTTACCATAATCATAATCTCTTGATAAGGTTCTCATATTCGCTCCGTTTATGTTTCAAAAGTAAATTGTTATCACACCTAATAATAATAATAATAATAATAATAATAATNAGGCATGACCACTCTATCTATAAGTAATTATTTCGGTGTGGAAACGATCGAATAGGCATTTATGGGGGCAGGAATTTTCGCACAGCACCGCATTGAGATAACTTAAACGTCAGCCAATAGATAGATTGACAAGCCCCCAAAAATTTCAGTATAGCGCGAATTGACATGCATATGACTATGACTCAACAAATAACTTTTATGTCTCGAACTTTATGTTGATGGGCACAAATTTCTGACTTGCATTGTATGCCTTTACTTTGTGCCTACAATTCCATCTTATATATCCGTCCGTACAACACAAATTGCAATTGTGGATGGCCCACACTCGTGTCTCACTTCTATGGATCCCCGTGACTTTTTGGTTTCTGCAAGTATAATTAATATATATAAACTAGCAATATGTATTTTATGTAGTTGTAGTTATTATATAGGTTATAATTGTTATTTTAGTACCTGTACTATGGAATAATTGTAATTTTGGTACATATTTTTTATTTATTGCGAAAATACAACTTGACCTTCACGTTTTTACGAATTCAGTACCTAGTATTGACGTTGGTTTGCATGACTTTACGATCGGACTCGTTTGGACTCGTTCGAACACGGAATTGAGTTCCGTTTTTTTCTACGCGTCGTCAACGAACCCCTTTATTCAATGATGCTTGTATGACTAAATTATTCTTGAAATACTATTCTCCCAAAGCTTATGATCAGCACACTAAAGACATGTTTCGTGCGACTTCGCGTTTTGGGCCCGTTCGAGCTCGTTCAAACTTGGAATTGAGTTTCGCTTTTTTCTACATGTCACCAACGAACCCTTCTACTCAACCATGGTTGCCCAGTCAATTTTTGGGCCAAATTGATTCCTCATGGGACTTCCAACCTGCACACTAAAAACAAGAAGAAAAACAAAAAAAAGACACGACACAATAAACTACAAAAACGAATAAAATCCAACAAAAATTCCTAAAACGGGGAAAAATAGTGAAAAAAATAAGAAAAAACGTAAAAAAAATAGAATAAACACTTTCAAAAACTCCATCACTACTAGTTCAAATTTTCCAAAAAGCTTAACGTTTGAATTGACAAAAAATTATAAACTAGTAGTGATGGAATTTTGACAAATGTTTGTTCTATTTTTTTTTTACGTTTTATCCTATTGTTTTGTCACTATTTTTTCCCCGTTTTAGAACTTTTCGTTGGGTTTTATTCGTTTTTGTAGTTTATTGTGTCGTGTGTTTTTTTTTTTCTTTTTCTTCTTGTTTTTAGTGTGCAGGTTGGAAGCTTCGTGAGGAATAAATTAGGCCCAAAAATTGACCGGGCAACCATGATTGAGTAGAAGGGTTCGTTGGCGACATGTAGAAAAAAGTGAAACTCAATTCTATGCTTGGACGAGCTAGAACGGGCCCAAAACGCGAAGTCGAGCGAAGCACGTCTTTGGTGTACTAGTCATAAGCTTTGGGAGAATAGTATTTCAAGAGTAATTTGGTCATAAGAGCATCCTTGAATAGAGCGGTTCATTGGCGACGCGTAGAAAAAACGGAACTCAATTCCGAGTTCGAACGAGCCCAAATGAGCCCGAAACGTAAAGTCATGCAAACCGACGTCAATACTAGGTACCAAATTCGCAAAAACATAAGGTCAGGTTGTATTTTCGCAATAAATAAAGAATAGGTACCAAAATCACAATTACCCCATAGTACAGGTACTAAAATAACAATTACCCTATTATATATAATACGTCAGCACTCGGAATGTTTTCATAAAAGATGTACATTTACATTATAGTTTGCAATTTCTTGTTAGCATATCTTTTACATATTCTTAAAAAAAAAAATCTATTTAATTAGGGCTATTCTCTGTTATTTATAATTACTATATAAAAAAAAGGCACTTTCTCATATGGTCAGTGCATGACCCTACGCTAGTTGTATGACACAAATGAACCAACCGTATAAGAAGGAGATCAATACACATTCTTTTTTATATATAAATAAATTAATAGTTTTTAAGTGTCTGCTTCTTCAATCATTCGCTGGAGCTGCAACAGTGAAAAAACGGCTTCTTCTAATTACTCAAACGGTCTCCACACCTACAAGAAACTCAACACTGAAAGAAGAGTTTTTTTTTTTTAAGAGTCTCTGATGCCTAAGTCAGTATGAGAATAAAGGCGATGAACGGTAATTTCGTAAGTAAAGTGAATGTATAGAGAATGCAATCCTCAAACTAACCTACTACATCCCTTTATATAGGGGAGTGGTGTCTTGTTCCCCAAGTCAGCCCAGAGGATTGACCCAGCTGCCCTTGTTGCCCGTCCGTACGACCTGCAGCGTCTCAGATAGTCGGGTGTTCGGGGTACATACGACCCAATCTTATCGCGATGCGTGGTCCAATCCTCGTACAACATGGTTTTCCAGTTAGATGCCATTTTGTCCCCCTATAAGATCAAATCCATGTCAACAGGTCCAACATCCATTTTGGCAGGATGTGGTCCTCTCCAGCTCATCTATCGGTTAGATAGAACGTGGTCGATTCGACGTCTTGATCTTCTAAGGTTGACTCGTCCATGGGTTTATCTACTAGTTGCATTCTCTTTCAAGTCAACGTGAGTCGAGCTTCTCCATTAACCCGGTCTGGTTGCTTGGTTTTTTTGGGAGGTTTGAGTCGATTCTATATCCTATATCATCTAGTCTCCCTACTCTGGATCGATCTAATATTGCTCGGTCCTAGAGTAGATTTTTCGACCTTGGATTTTGGCACATTAGACTTATTCCGCTTCGACCTGCTGCCTTAGTTCCTCAACTCCCTTTGGAAACCTCTCTACCTTCTTTTTACGCCTTGATGATTGGGTCATGTTGTTCTTGGATCGACCAGGTCTTTTTCTGAAATATTCGGGCTTCCTCTTGCGTTCCTTCTGATTATTTGCTATTAATATCTCCTTGCTTTTTCCTTTAATTTCAACCACTTCCTTTCTACCCCAGTTTAAATTTTAAATTTAAAAATTCAAAAACCTGGGTTCTGGATGTGACCCATTGTCGTCTCATGGAAGCCACCATATGGGTTACCTCGCCCCCTCGTATATTGTGCCTGTTCAGATCTTGCAATTAATGTGCGTCCTTTCATTTCTTCCTTTTGTTCCCGACCGTTGATCTGGACCTCCATCGGACGGCTCCAAATGCTCGACCTTCCAGATCCTTGTATCGCCTCTTATAAATACCCTCCTTCTATGCCTTTTATTTGTTCGCTCCCTTTGCGATTTTGTGCTTTCCTTGATTGTGCTTTCTCCTTGCTAATCCGTGCTCTTAAAGCTTTTGTCGCCGCCGTGCTCCGCCATCTGAGGGTTCAATCTTTGAAGACATCTGCACTATATTGTCACTCAGTAAGTCGATTTGCTTTCCCTTTTAGTAGTTTTTGTAGTATTTTCGTTTGTAGCTTCTATATGATTATTTCTTTATCTTCCATTTCGCATTTGGGTTTTTGTACTCCATCTAAACCTTTTCTTCCTCGAGCCTTTTTCTTCAAACCCTAAGTCTTCTGTTTTCTCTTCTTTTTTTTTTTAGATTTGCGCGCTACCTCGGCTTCTGAAGCTGCTTCCATTGGCCGTGACATGTCTCCGGGGAGTTCTACGCCAAGTTCGCCTTCTATCTCTCTGCTCGACCTTTTACTTCTCCAATCTTGTGTCCTATTCCTCTTGCCAGAAAATTCCCTAGTTCTTCGGCCTATCTTCCTTCGTCCTCGACCTCCGGTATGGTTCTTTCTCAGCGTCGTCTTCACCGAATTCGTGGCTCATCAAAAGATGAGGAGAAAGAAGAGGGCTTGCCGATTCGCTCTACTGTACCTCAACCTTCTGCCATTCGACCTTTTTCTCCGCACCCTGAGGCCGATCTTGCTGAGGACGAGCTGTTTTATGAGATAGATCCCACTTGCCAACGCAATGAGTTCTGCCACA